AGTTAAGGGTGTTATTACAAACTTCACCAACTATAACGCAACCCCGTTTTGGAAAGCCATACATTTGTTATAACGTTGAGGCATTAGCATAAAACTCGTTTCCTCCTGAACACGTCATCTGTCACCTGTCATACGCCTTGCTCGATGGTTCAGAGATTGGCTAATATGATTTCAAAACGGATATATCCCGGAACCATACGGCTAAAAATTGAGTAAACAGTTTTTTTTCAACACTATGTATACTACTACATTTGACCATATCCAAACAATCGTTTTTGAAAAGTTTACTGCAAGTAGCTTGTATGTAAAACTCCTAAGTATTTAAAAATATTTACCATTCATGTTAGCCATTAGGTTCATTACTGATGAAAATTAAAACTTAAAATGCTATTTTTATATTTAGACCCCCCCTATTTTTATCCCCATTATGAAAAAAGGTTCAATACAAAGACACAAAAATATACTGTAGTTACATTTAATATGATTCCATAATAAATTACTGTCTTTGTTACAAAAATACTATCGTAGTTTTTACATTTCATACACAGTTTTAACAAAGTTTAAAATCTTGAAAGGGATTTCTTCAGTAAATTCAGGTCCACAGTATATTCTACCTTTGACTATTAATACAACTTCTGTATCCAATAGTCAATGATTCTACCCATCGATGTATAATACTACCCCGACCTGTATGCAATATACACACTATACATATTTTACAGATTTGACTTTGACATAAGGTTAATAAGCATTTCATTCGGTAAACTAAAATATACAAAAACTTGTATTTTGTATAAAAACTATGATGCCTTTTAAGTTTGGTAGAAAGTTTACAATAATGTGATCTATGATTTACCTAACTAGTCTAATATTTATAGGATATCTACACATTTTCATGGTGAAAAGGTTCCCTGAAAACCTGCATCATAATGTTAGTCGAATGGCTCGACCTTGTATGTGGTCAGGTCTAGGTCAACTTGTAGGGTGATGCGTTTCATACTCTAACGTCCAATAAGCCTGAGTTTAGGTCTTCGTCTACCTCTTGGAAGGAGGGCCCAAAATAGAGGCACACTCTTGAATAGTAGCAGTTATTGATCTTTGATATATGTTTCCATTGAAATTGGCATTGAAAACAAAACATTTCGATGAATACGGTTTAGTTGATCTTGTGTAGTGTAATTTTAAGAGGTCTACTCATATATTAAACATTGTATGAAAACAACTCCGAAACAATTCAGCTGCTCAGTGACAGAGAGCTCTTTGGTTTGCAAAACCATTCGAGAGGTTTCCAAGCTGGAGGGAAGATCCATCATGATTCGTTGGTGGTTAGAATGACATTAGAGGCAGCAATACAGTAATTAATTGCTGCTAAAGTGTGATGCCAAAAATATCAAGAAAATTTACTGGAGCTGTGTGGAAGCCCTCAAAGACCTCTTAGAAGGAAGGCCCAATGGTTGGTAACAGGAGCTTGGATAGCGTGAAGAATTACTCTTGGAGTATGATGTTGATATTATGGACGTCCTTTTACGAGTAAATCATAGATTATTAGCACCAAATTAAATATGTAATAAAGTCATATAAACACTTTCTAGATGAAAGAATCCTTACCAGAGTGCAAGGATATTCACCAACAATTAGTTGCTTGATCTTGAAAAGTTTAAAGTAAAAATCTTAAAGCAATTAACTGAGTGTGGCCTTATCATTCATGTTATACGCCCACCAGTTAAGTAGCTGTGCACTGTATTTTATTTGCTCCTTTGAAGGATGTCCACTAATGTCAGTAGCACTCCTTAGGGTAAGAACAGTTTCTGATTTGGAATGTATGACTGAGTGTGATGATGTCATAAACGTTCACTAAATTAGTTTGGAAGCTTCCAGGTACCTCTTGGAAGGAAGATCGACCAACGGTCAGTAGCACCTCTTAGGGTAAAAGCAATAATGATCTTGAGTAGATGGCTGAGTTCAATGATGCCATTGCTGTCATAGACGTCCACTAAAGCTGTGTGGAAGTCTCCAGGTACCTCTTGGAAGGAAGATCGACCAACGGTCAGTAGCACCTCTTAGGGTAAAAGCAATAATGATCTTGAGTAGATGGCTGAGTTCAATGATGCCATTGCTGTCATAGACGTCCACTAAAGCTGTGTGGAAGTCTCCAGATACCTCTTGGAAGGAAGATCGACCAACGGCCAGTAGCGCCTCTTAGGGTAAAAGCAATAATGATCTTGAGTATATGGCTGAGTTTAATGCTGCCATTGATGTCATAGACGTCCACTAAAGCTGTGTGGAAGTCTCCAGGTACCTCTTGGAAGGAGGGTCCACTAACAGTCAGTGTCACGACCTTGGATAACAGCAGTAGTTGACCTTGGAGATAAATGGACTCATGGCGAAGCAGGCGAACAAGAGAAGAACGGCGAGCACTAGGAGATACAGAGACCAGGACAGTTTGCAGTTCCCTGAGAAAACATGTTTACATTTTAACTTTATTGCTGACGGCTATTTATTTTATGCTTTACGATGCTTAAGAATGTTTATTTTTAGATTAGTTAAGTCGTTAGTTTCTTTGCTTTTCTTTCTTTATAATCATGTATGCTCTACAAAGGGTTAGGTTGTATAGTTGCATGTTCCACTGAAGCGGTCTATAAACAAAGTCATTTCCTCAAGTAAATAAACCAGGGGGGGGGGCTCGAGAGTATTATACATAGTCCAGCACACGTGAAAGTAAGTTAATTCGTACTATAAACAGTGAAATAGTTGCAGTTAATCTGATAGTAAAAGGTTCATTGCAAAGTGAATCTGTTAATAAAAGGATTTTCATTGCTGTGGGATTTTGAGGATTTGTAATGTAAATCAGAGGTTGAATTAGGAGGAGCCAGATTTTGAATATTACGATAATTATAATAATTGTTATACATAGTAAAACCTCTTCTACCGAGCTTTGACATAGATGTGACGGCGATGAAAGCACGGAACGTTGCTTACCAAGGCTGTACATTTGTGAGAAGGGTCCACAACAGTCCCTTACTTCTCTGTTGTCCCAGCCTAGAGGATAGACGAGCAGACCACCACTTAAGAGTATACCTGTTAACATCAAACATTCACGGATACAGTAAGGCCATTAATATATATACTACGTAGCCTATAGCAAAAAGCTGTCGATTTCGTAGCCAGGCGACCTCTGCAGAGATAGTATTCCATGCCTAATTAGGGCCTTATTTAGTCTGTATTCCTGTAACGCCCTCAAGTTACCCAGCTCATGGTTTTAATCTATACTATCAAATATGTACGGTTATTTTGCACTAAATGGAACAGAACTACTGCATTAACCTCACCTGTCTTCATAAGGATAGCTATCGAGGAATTTGAATAGGTTATGAGAATTAGTACTTGAAACTCAGCATAAATTTATTATGGTCACCATTTCATTGAAAGTATTAAAGTATGTTCATATTCCTATACGTTTCCAAATTACCGAGACGTAGTGAACATCAACTTATGTTTCATGATAAAAATATACATGAGTTCACTGTACTTCAGTGTGTGTTTGGTTATTCCAGAGGCCATGCTAACCTAAACAGATTTTTTTTTTCAAATGCTTAGCCGATTTTTATTGATTCTTCACATTTCTTTAAGAATCTGGCAAAGACTTACATACCTGTTTATTGTTTCCTATTAAAACTGAACGTTAAAAATTACGTTTTCATTATTTCATTAGTATTAGGAAGGACTGATTTGTCTATTCCCGCCACCCATTTACCCATATACTTAAAATTACCTAATATATGAGGGTGCCAACAACTGTGTCTAAAATATGTAGTGATTTAGTTATTGGCACAACCTTGGCACTGCCAATAACTGTGGTAACTGGCATGCCAATAACTGTGGTAAATACACTAATGCCGATTGGCACTGGTAATTATTGTGGTTATTGGCATGCCAATGACTGCAGTCACTGGTAACAGGTGACACTGCCAGTAACAGCATTTACTGTCATGGAAGTCTCTAAGTTATCGTAACATGGTTACACGAGTATATGCTAAAAAAATAATTTATTTAGGCCAATATACTTAATTTATATATATAAAGATACAAAGCTTCACATAACTAATTTTTACCATATTAAAAAAGGGTAAACCAAAAACCGATCCATCATATTATGTTTAAAACCACGAATCCTAGAAAAATACCGGTACGGATCATAAACAAAAACAAATGACGTTGTTGGCCCGAATCCTATACTAATAGCATTAACATATGTTTTGGGAGTTCCATTTATGCAATGTTAAATAATGTTTATTTTCGGGCCAAAAACGTCATTTCTTTATGTTTATGATCCATGCCGGGTGGAAAACCATTAAAATTCCGTCGAAAAGCCCCAATCAGGATCAAATACGTAACAAAGAGAATAAAAAATAGGCCTACAAAAGATGAAATGTGAACGTTGTAATGAAATATTTCACAGGAAATATTTTGATGGCATTGATTACGACGAACCAATACCAATTAATATGTATAAAGACGGTATTAAGTTCGGTAAAGGTGTTGCCAAAGAACTGAAACTAGGCCTACCATGAGCAATTTTAAGGATTTTAATTTTACTTACTGTAAAATTTTCATTGTTTCTTCTATATACTATAATATGATTAGGCATAAGTTACATCACGTAAGACAACAGAGACCACCTTAGTACGCTTAAAATGTAATATTTGTAGACTTTTTTTATAGGTGCCAATAACTGTGCCAAGATGTGACAATAGCTATGGTTGATGGTGCCAATAACTATGGTTTTTGTATTTTTTAACATTTAAATTTTTTAATAAACTTAAGTAATGATATATATATTTTCTTTATACATCCCAGTATTCTCAGTACATTCTGCTACATGATTAAAAAAACGTAGATATTAAAAAAACTATTGCAAAGGAGCTGTGGTAGATTTTTCCGAAGCCTACCGTTAAGGTGCCAATAACTGTAGCATTACCCTACAAGAATATTTTACACTTTCACTCTGATACAAACACTTTGAATGGGTTGAGCTGCTTAACACTCACCAAGCGAGCTGGGACAATTTTGAAAATTAACTTAGATTGTATGAAAATCCCCAAAGTCACTCTAGAGAATTGGTTTAATTTAACTAACACAATTCCTCAGAATGGAAGCTTTTAAGCCGTACAAGTACATGAAGTGAATTGAGCTATGTGGTATTATATTGTATCAATGATAACCGTTTGGGCAATTCTCTACGGATCCACTATTGTTTTAAATAATACAAACAGATTTACTTTCGGGTGAGTGACGACAATTCGCTATGTTTATGATTCATACAGTTGCCGTTCTAATACCCATGGCTCGACCTTATTAATTTTAATCACTAAATACGTAGGTACACATGATTTATCAGTTAGGCCAGTGAGTGTTAGCTTACCACCACCTGATAAATTAGTAATCAACTGAATAACAAGCTAGCCTTACAATCGAAAGGTTGCAAGAGCGATCCTGATAAAGGTCAGCTGTTTGACGGCTCGAAACTGGACCCAGCTGTTCCTGATCATAGGGCTTTAAGTAAATGGTCCTGGCTAATACAGATGTTCTTAGTCTGCAAAAAAGCTACAAAGATCATCTCAATCCGTTCTACACCCATCCTGCACTCATATTTCAGCTAAATACGCACCTAGGTAATCCCCATCTCAATTGGTAATGACAAAAATTATGAATAATAATATTTTAACCTGTTAACATCAAACACCTGCTCACCTACTCTAGTTCATTGTACGTAAGTAGTCGGGCGCTAACACTAATTTCCTGAGTTCAAAATCAGTATTACTCAGGTTCTATTGAAAATATAAATCACTAATCCTTCAAGCATGATATAGTTAACATTTTCTCCGCTATACCCGTGTTGCTCACCATCAATACCTGCTATAAGTTGAAGTCCACCAGCCATTCTAGCAGTGGCGGCGTGTACTATGTACTCCACGAAACACGCTGACAAGGCGACGACCCCTAACATGAGGGCGAGGGCGGAGCCCACCCCTACGAGGACTGTAGAGGCTTGCCACCAACCACTAGGAATATCTCTCCACCTAGAGACCATTCACATTGTGCAATCACTGTTGTACTCATTTTGTAATGTACATTAGTCATTGTTGTACAATTCTGGAATATTATAATATTGAGAAGAATGGAAATTTCATCTCAGCCCGGCATCGTTTTCACATTACTTCAGGCTAGACCTATAGGTAGCGCCATTATGAGATGGATAAAACCCATCTAGTGGGATTTGAATCCAGGACCTTCGGGACCTTAGTCTTCCGCTCTACCGGTCAGCTCGTTCCTCAATAAGGTGGTATGAAAGTAAATTTTAACATGTTGTAAAAATACCTTGTGTTTATTATTACTCGTTATCAACTCTAGTTATGTAAACCACAATATGTTTAATAGTCTTGTCTTATGAAAGTGAAACTAGTAGCACAACAAACCATCCAGTCTTAACCGAGTGTACTTTGTTCATGCAAAATCATTTGAAATAGAGAAATGGCTGTTCAATAATTTTGCCACGTACATCTAGAATTACCTGGAGTATCTAGCGCACTGCGTCACGATCTCAACGATCCCCTGAGGCCCGAGACGGGGGTAGTTGCAGCGACGGAAGCTGTTAAAGTATGCATCCACCCTCCCTAGAATACGGCCCTGCACATACAATCATGTAACGTCAACATATGTGAGTCTGACGAGAGATCATAACTGCTCATAGGATTTAGTGCATGTTTATTTGTGGATAAGGGTGAAATTTTGATATTTTCCTTTAGTAATTCCCAGAATATCCCTGGGTTGTATCACGATAGAACAAAAATGAGAATGAGATGTAACATTTAGTGGATATATTATCTGGGGATTAGTGAGGGTAGCCTGTAATTTGTTTAGATGTTCAATAATAACTGATTGCCCTGGAGTAGGAAAAATATTTGTCCATCACGTTATCTAAGAGTATGTATGTCTACCATGTAATGTTGATATTAATTTGAAGAACTTCCTTTGTTTTTTTTCTTCCTATGTCAAGAAGTGAAGAAATATAAGAAGTCTAGTAAAATGTCTTACAGCTAATCACCGTACTTCCCAACATTTTGTTCTCAGTAACAATATTTTTAAAATTTAACTTTCTGGAAGATTTTATCTTCACAATTTATTATTTTTTATTACTGTCAGGATCATAACTCTAAAAAATTGAGCAAAAAACATAATAAAGATTGTTTATTTGTGGATGAGTAAGGGTATAATTTTAATATTTCTAATTAGATTTACATAAATATTTTGTGATTAGGGCCTACATGTTGATAACTAAACAACATACTTTTGTATGGAGTGTTAATAACAATTTCTGGGACCTTCCTAGTTAGTTTCAAATACAATAGAACAAAAAGGAATCTGGATAACTAGTCAATAACTGATTTAGATCCAGGGAGTGAATGAAGCTAATGAGTTTAGTTAAATATCATGTCAAACTAATCGCTGTCTCTGCCGACATTTTGTTCTCGGTCACTTTATTTATTTGTTTTTATTTTTAATTTTTAATTTGGTTTTATTTAGGATGATTTTTATTGAATGTATTGTCTGCTATTGACTGGTATTATAACTCTAGAAAACACAACCTAAGATTTGGTGGAGATATTATATTGTGAATAAGTAAGAGTCCGTTTGTTTCAAATAGAACAAAAATGATTTCAGAGAAAATGTCTTAATATAGTTAATACTGTAACTGACACTGTCAAAAAGTGAAGGGATCTAATTATTCTAGTGAAATATCACGTTCCGTTACCCGTCGTCCTTTCCAAAACTTGGTGACTTTATTCTGGTTTTGTATTTTATCTATTGAACAAAGATTATTTCCACCGAATCAATTTTAACACTAATTCTTATTTACTAAAACTCAATTTAAACCTTACAAAATTTCAATTTAAATTGTTTAGACTCAAGTAATTAGATAATTAATAAATTATGACAGGGCTTGCATCATTTTGCTAGACTAACGATGACTATTTGTTACGTGTGTTTTAGCATAGATAAAAAGAAGTAGACAGCAGATAGCATAGATTAAAAGTAGTGTCTATACTCCTTTTATCTATGGTTTTAGTAATAATAGAACATTTGTTAACCAACGACAATAAAACACGTTACAATAGTTGTTAAACTAAATTGGCCTTTAGTACTAAAATTATTACCTGTATCCAAAATGGTAGGTAAAAACCAGAACATGCCAAAAGCGCCGCCGCCACAGACAGAAGAGCCCAGATATAGCCTGGACCTGTCAGCGTCCCCATCCGCCTTCTGAAACATGGGGGAAAGTAAACTTTAAACCATAAACCATGAGTATATGTAAGAACAATAATTTATGACATTGGAACCGATCCAATGTCATACAATAATGTTCAAATTTACATTGTTATTAAGATTATGAGTATTAATCCTTATCCTTTTTGATTACTAGCACTCTTTATGGGAAGATTTTTATGAATTATTTCTTTGGATTTTATTCATCAGGAATGTTTATTATGATGAACTACTGTGACGTTGATTTTCTTGAGAATGCCCATCATAGGATTAATCGCAAAATCGTTGTTCTAACTTCAATGAAACGAGATAACTTGAAGATTCAATTGTAAATTTTTTTCTTTTAATATTTACTGTGGATATTTATAGGCATACACTGTGGATGCGATACTCCCTGGTGTGGATTAACGCCCGCACTAGTGAGTACTACGACTATCCGCAGTACTATCCTGATAATTAGACCAATTCGTTAATTACAAGGCAAAAATGTGGTTTGGATTCCACTATAAACTGTAGGTACCTTAGCCATTGGCTGTATGGGCTATTAATTAATTTACAGCGGTGTCTAAGGAATATGTTGGCCTTAGTCACTAACAAGACTACAAGATCGCGCCACTACACTCATCTCCATTCATACTTGGCATTCGTATTTTCGCCATTTCAAAGTAAAATATTGAGGTATATACGTATGCAGATTGTAAATTATCGTTTGGTGAAATTCATAAAGATGTAACGGTTGAATACGTTGAAAGAATTAAATGCATTGCATTGAGACTAGGAACTCGGTGGGAATATTTAAAGGTAGCCTGATTTTATTTTCTCTACATACGGAAAATTCGCGCACTTTGAGCCTAGCTAGGTTACTATATCGTTCGTACGTTTATTTTTCCTTTCATAAATCCTAAATAACTGAAGAGTTTAAATATAAAAATGATTTAAATAATCGTCATGATCATGAATATTGTTAAGGTTAGAGTTCCTTCTTCTTTAGTTGGTTATTTGTTGAAAATAGTATGTTTCAAAATTTTGCTCCAATAATTAAGAAATCTGTACAATATATTGATTTGTATAATATTGTTCTATGGAATACTCATTAATGACACAGTAAAGCTTAAATCCCATATACTGAGATAAAAAATTAATTGTAGGACTCTATATACATTGCTTATATTTTTTTACTATAAATTGCGATTAATCTAGCATGGTCCCTTAAAAAGAGATAGTCAAAATGTAAATCACTCACTAATGAATTTTATCATTATAATGCGAACGTATAACTTCAAAATCAAACTTGAACTAGCTACAAAAGAGAACCGCCCAAAGTATCGTTTTGGCTTGCAAAGCAGCTTACAGCCATGTCTGTAGTTAATTATCAACATAACCTGGGCTAAGTTGCCCTCTTCTACTCCAACAATGCTTGTTTTTCAGCCTTTTATGCAAAGTGTTTCTAAGAGATTCAGCACATTTTTAAAATTCATTAGATCCACTTAAATGTTTATAAAATATTACTTGAGTTCTTGGAAAATGATTGGATGGTAATATTTTAATAAACAGTTGTTTTATTACAACGGTGCAAAAATATAATTCATAATTTTTATTCATATCACACACACAATACGTGCTTGTATTATGTGAATAATTCCTAAAATCTTACAAAAATCTATTAATATGGGTTTAATCTCAGAACCTTACATCTTTATTGCAGGTTCTCAGACATTAGTACAGAAAAATCTTAAGATGCTACTATTGACGAATAACTAATTGTTTAACGAAATGTCTACTGATGTTATACAGTATGATAACTGTTATAAAATGTTACGGATGCTGTTGAATTTTATTGATAATAGTAAGCTGTTAACATATTTCAAGTTAGGTACAACACATTTTCAATTGCACAATGTCTGTCTACAAGCAGCATTTTGGGTTACGTAGTAGAGGACTTACTAGTCCTAACTATGCTTATTAGGTACAGAAATTTCCCAAATAATTTCATTTAAAATATTCAGCACGATTTCATTGCTCAGTGTTTGACGACACTATGTAACCAAAACTTAACAAACGCTAAGCATATGTTTTAGAATATTCCATTGCAAAATTTCTTTTTACTAGCCCAAAACAACGAGTTTAATAAATGTAGATTAATTTTTGGATTACATCATTATCTCACTAACGCTCGGCTGAACTCGACGTGTCTATCTGACTGTGTTTATGTATTGTAAACTCAGTCATTATCATTTACACGTCGCTAAACTTTCCCATTAACGTCTTCATGTTAACGCAAAGCAACTCTTAAGATCGTCAAACGTTTGAAACTGTATGTGACGTTAGTACGAATCTTGTTATATAATTCCATACCACCTACAGTTTACCGTTGAAAGGAAGCGCAGTTAAAAATGGAAATTCAAGGATGAATAAACTTTTTCAATAATTGTGACATTTAACAATTGATCGTAAAATCTTTTAAACTGTATGTGATGTTAGTATGAATCTTGTATAATTTCGTGCTTCTTTAAAGGTGAGACATCTCAACGTGTTACAATTTAAAGATTGCTGAACCATTCAAATTGTAATTTTTTCAAATTCATATATTAAAATGATGAGGATTAATTAAATGTCCCGGGTGAAACGGAGAGGAGAATTGATTATTTTTTTTAACCTGGAAATAAGAATAAGACTAAACAATATAGCATAAGACTAAAAAAAAGTTAAGGTACGACTACAGGTATACCTATTTTAAAATCAAGCTAAACAATATCAGTTCTCTGTATGGATATATAAATATTGATAAGTTCTCTGTACGAATTTATGAAGATAGACAATTTCTCCGTACGGATATAAAAAATAGACAATTTCTTTGTACGGATATATAAAGATAGACAATTTATCTGTGCGGATATATAAAGATAGACAATTTCTCTGTACGGATATATAAAGATAGACAATTTCTCTGTAAGGATATATATAAAGATAGATAAGTTCTCTGTACGGATATATACAGATAGATTAGTTCTCTGTATGGATATATACAGATAGATTAGTTCTCTGTATGGATATATAAAGATAGATAAGTTCTCTGTGCGGATATATAAAGATAGACAATTTCCCTGTGCGGATATGTAAAGATAGATCAGTTCTCTGTACGGATATATAAAGATAGACAATTTATCTGTACGAATATATAAAGATAGACAATTTCTCTGTACGGATATATAAAGATAGACAAGTTCTCTGTACAGATATACAAACATTATATGTTATCTAAGGTTGGAGTTTCAGAGGAGTAGGAAGAACTTTCTGACATGTCATTTATCAAAACCAATTTAATATCTTCGTGAAGGATTCACCTAGGCTACACTTACAAGATTAAGTCTTTACTAGTCTTTAACGGGGTAATAGAGGGATGGTTATGGTGGTGGTAAAATCTGTATGCTGAAGCTGTACTATATATTTAAATGTAGTGCTGATTTATTGTGTTTGTCTAATTTAACCTGTGTACTTTTTTACCTTCGTATTTAAGGAACGGTACAAAGCCAGGAATAGATACTATATCTGTCATAGCCCTGATGTTATAAAAATCAATAATAGCATAACCTGTACACTAATTATTACGAAAGTTCATAACAGGTGCTGGTTAGACAAATGTCAGCCTTAAATAATACCAAGACCAAGAGAAAAACATCCAGTCATATCGAGAACATCAGAACATCATGAGCTCTTAAGGCCCCCGACATCAAATACAAATTAAAATACTGACTGCATCTATTGTTATTACTTGCATACATTTTTGAATTTGATGAAAATGTATAATTTATTTGTAAATTAATTCATACGTAGGCTAAGTTAAGCAAACTGTTAGAAGAAAACTAACAAATTTTGATTGTAGTTAGTCCTTTATATTTTATCAAAACGTATACAGTATGATGATGTTACACTTGGGTATGAGTTAAAGGAGTGGCTTGATCTAAACTTTGCTACTTTGAAGTGATTGGAAGACTAACTTTGTATAAAACTCTCTACTTTACATCAAAGAAGCTGGTTATGGTTTTTGATTTAAGCTGGTTGAAAAAACCCAAAAACTTTGTAAACGTATCACCTAGCGAAAACGATGGTGATTTGAAGATTCTCTAGAAACATTCAGCATGGTCATTAATTTTAAACCCTAATTGTGGTTTCTGTAATCGTCGGTTTAAGAGGATTAAAATACGTACTCGTGTTTTATATGAAAATTTTCTCACTTTCACAATATTAATTTAGTTTAATAAGACTCAATAATATGGATTTTAGCATCATGAGTTTAATTTTGTTTTACAGTCAAAACTCTTTACAAGTAATTTGGAACCAGGCCGATAGTCAGCACCTTTAGTGGATATCGTGAAAGGGAATATCCTGTAATAACCCTGTACCCTCTTAGACCTCATCATCGTATTCTCAATTATGGATACACAGTAACTTATACTACAGTAAATTAATTTATCAGTTAAATAAGGATAAAAAAGTTATTATAAGAACGTAGTTAAGAATATTATCTCAAGATTTATTCATAGGAAAAACATATTCACCCTCTCGTGTTATCCAAGGGTGTTCCACTAGACGAGTCGGTGCATCCACTACTGCACGTGACGGGAGACAAACTGGCGGGAGTCTGGAGCAGAACGGCGGGAATGATCAGCTGATCACCACCCACCCCCACCTGGTGTCTTAGTTTGACATTAGAGGGGTTTTATTCAGTGACACAGACTCCCTTGCAGTGCTAATTTCTTATGGATCAGCTGATGCACATAATATGGGTGTTTTTTCGTAACTCCTGGAGGGCATTTCAAGTTGTCGTACTCTAATTATTATTGAAATACAGCCGGAATGCTCCCTTTTAATCAGAAGATCGCCAGTTCAATTTTCAAATAGCAGAAGTTTTTTTCACAGTTTGAAACGGGAACCAGCTGTCTTTGATCATTGAGCTAAATGGTCATGGACAAAGACCAGCTGATATTTG